TAAAATTTATTTGTTAGACATTAATGTGCAATTCGTCTTTCACTATTGTGCACTGGTAGTGTATATGTTTTTAATGTGCATGTACACAATATTTGTGCATTTCTTTATTTATTATTAATATGTATTTATTAAAAAAATTATAAATTACATATTTGTCCAATTAACTAAATCAAAGATTTATTGATTGGAAATATATTTGTATTTATTCAAATGTACATTCCATATAATATATAATGGTATTCCTAATGTGAATTTCTATCCCCAATTGCATTTCTCATAAATATTGTTATACATGACTTATTTTAATTTGCATCCATAAAATCATAGACTACCATAAATGCAGCTGAACTAACTTCCTGATCTTTATAAAAGCAATATATATACATCATTTCCATCTTGTACCAATCAATTTCAAATTGAGACACGCCTGGCAAATTGCAGGAAAAAAAAATGTATCGATGATAATCTTCAGCATTTAAAAACTATCTGGTCCTTTTTCATATCCAACATATGCAAACATTACTAATTATTAATTAAACTTTTGATAAATTGTAAACATACCAAGACTTAAAGTGCAATGTACAAAAAACTTATAAAATTGCATATAGGTCCTTACTATTTTTCTAATTTTCACACAAAAACACAACAAATCTCTTCTCCATCTACCATGCCCGTCAGTATTGCTGACCCGCCGCCGCACATAGAGAAGATGCAGGCGGCAGTGTCGGACGCGGCGGCCGCCTAACGCAACGCCATCCCGTTCAACGACGCCATTAATGGCTAGGAGCTTCGTGGCCGTGAATTAATCTCAACCCCGAGCTGCCGACAGTGGCGGTCCTGTCTCGATAGCTCTGGCGATGAATATTGTTGCCGCAACCATGGTGGTTTTGTTCTCCGTGAAAGTGGGTATGACGGTGACTTTCGTGGAGCGGCGGCAGCGGCATCGAAATTCGTCCGGCATTGATGTTGGTTATGGCCGTGTGCAGTGACGGATTTAGAAATTTTAACGAGGGGGGCCCGATTTTAAATATTAAATAACGAGCTTGTAGTT